TTCCTGCTCAGGAGCTCTTGACTCTGTGCGTTACTGGTGCTATGCAACTGCCATAATTAACACACATACATGTTTTCAGTGAGATTAAGCCCTTTTTAAAGACCCTGTAGGGAGTGAAATGATTATCATTCGAAGACAGAATCAAGTGCATGTCCACACATCCTTTTAACCAGTGGAAATCATGGAGCGAAGAAAAGGACAGAATGGAACAGATCTCAGGAGGAGTAGAGCTGGACTCAGGAGGTCAAGGAAAGAAAAATGAAAAGACCTTGCAGTTTTCTGTTAAAATCAGGCTGGAAAGGCTTTCCATTTCAAGGCAGATGGGAAAACTTGGCATCTTGGGAAAAGGCTAATCCTTATAGCTATGAATTGAACATCAGAAACAGTTGGAAAAACATCACTTTGGGATGATGTTTTTAATAGTAAACTCTGCACCAATGCAACTGCTGAGGCAAGGATTATACAGTATCTTTAAAGTCAGTAAAATACCATATGTGCATGCATATTTAAGTAACTTCTGTTTTTAACCTGTTGCGTAGCTCAGGATGCAACTATTCCTTATGAGTACAACCAAAAAAACCCCAGTACTTTAGAAACATGCTTTGCATAGTGATTTCTGAAGTGAAGCATGTAGGGAGAGGTGGATTAAGTAGAAAAGGGGTGAATCACAGGGGAGGTTAAAGACACAGGAAATGGAGACATTTAAGAACTCACCCTTGATTGCATGAACTCCTCTTTACATGGGGTAAAGAGCTGAGCTCACACACTGCTTGCCAATGATGGTGGAATTTCTTGGCACAAATGTGTGACAGAGAGAGAACAGATACTGTTAACGTGGACTGTACTTCTCCATATCCCATCTGGGTAGATACATCATATATTTTCTCGGATGGCAAAACTGGCTTAAGAAGTTCTTGTCCTTGCTGCTGCCTATCTCGTCTCATAGCTATGCGTTCCCACATCTACCCTGAAGTTTACCACTTCTTCAGTTGCCGGTGGTCAGTGTAATTCAGACTATAAATTAAAAGGAAAAAAAAATAAAGAAGTATTATAGCTTACTATTAAATTTCATAATTTGGCAATCCAATGTATGGCACAGCTCCACAAGACTGACACAGATGAGGAAGTGTGTGTGAGAGAGAGAGAGAGAAGAAAAAGCAGATGGGGGCAAAGATTGGGGCTGGTTGCTTGTTAAACCAGGTTTGTCACAAAAGACAATGGATCAAGGAGCTACAGCTATATCACTAGACTAGTCACTTCTAGAGCGACAGTTTTTGCTTTCTTGTTTTGCCCATCACAGGTGATGAATAACTTAGTACAAGTAAAGA